ATTATCGATTTTAGCGCGGTGTTTTTGAGCAACACATTCTGATATCCAAACTATGTTTCTGCATTCTTGTTCCTTAAGTTTAAGGTAAGAATAAAATACTCCATAGTGAAATTGTTGGAGGAAAGCATTTGTGTTTAATCGAACCTATAATAGAGGGGAATTTCAAATCTCTTATATCGAAAATCATAATCACACAAAGCAAAAACTATTAAATATTTATCGTCTTTTACCTCATGTTCGAAAAATTTATCTTCTAAGGTTTTTTCCCCAGGATTATTACCAGCTCCTTCAAACAAAGCACTGTACTCCTAACATAAAAAATAAAGTTATCATTGATATTTTGAAATATTTTAAGCATGTCTTAAAATTTGATGATTAATTTACTAACAGCATAATATTCTGCAACAGCTTTCACTTGTTCGTAATCATCAGCTCTGGCTAAAGCTGCCAATCCATCAGGGTGAAGTTTACCACATCTGGGATATAACTTGGCTCTATCATCTTTGGTAAGTTCAGTTCCAAATGAATTAATGGTAATAATAATGGCTCTACGATCAGCCTCAAACTAAGTGTGTGTAAAAATTTGTTAAATACCAATTGAAATTTTAATTAAAAAAAAAAAAAAATCAAGTAATCAATTTAATATGAGTCTTACTGCCAGAATTTCGCACATGGCATCAGCAGTGGTACCTCCCAGTTCCTTACAAAAATCATAAAATGCTTCCAAGTATGCTTTGTACAAGGTGTTTCTTATTATTTCAATATTCATTTCATCTAAATCTTGCTCACTTATGCAGTCGACAAAAAATGGTGCTTAAAAATAATTTTAAAAAATTATTTTCAATTTGACTTAGTTAATTAATTTTTCAAATGAGAATAAAAACTATTCTATACTAAAACTAAATTAAATACTAATAAATATATACAATGTAAGAAAACGAAACTGTCTTTTTGCATATGAACTAATGTCAAAATATATAATAAAATTACCTAATGGAGTATCGACAAGAACTGCACTGTATAATTCAGCTGGATTAGAAGCAACATGAATAGCTTCCATTTGTTCAAAAGACCCAAGTGGGTGACATTTTGGAATTAACTCGGATATTGGTCTGTGATGAAGGGTGCCAGTAATAAGTAAAATTATGTTGTCTATCATGTAGCTATAACTATAAGAGATTTTCCTTTAGAATTAATCATTCATTATATTAAATAACATAAATTTAAGTGGCTCACGTTATAAAATCTAAAAATGTTGAAAGAGGAGCCACAGAATGATTTCTCATGTGTTGAAATTCAATGACCAATTTTTCCCTTAATTTATCATCTATTGTGGAAACGGCAAGAGGACTTGGCTCATTTGCTAAAAAATTACCGTAATCGGTTCCTTGAAGATGTAATTTCAAGTCTAAAAGTTAATCAATCAATTTTTTAATACACCTTAACTTTAGTTCGACAAAAAAAAAAAAAAAAAAAAAAAAATTGTAACCAATAAATTTTAAACATACCTTCTAGTGTTTCGCATTGAACAAGGTTCAAATAATCGGATTGTTTTAATATTCCGCACTTAAACCCCCTACAAAGACCCTCCAAATATCCGGCATCTATATTAAAAACACAACCTTTCATTTTTATTTTTTTCTTTTCGAAAAATGTTTTAAAAAATTATTGTAGTCAAAATTGATTGACCCAATCTGTTGTCATATGACAGAGAAGAGTGTTCGAAAATTTTACAAAAGTGGCTTTAGTTAAAGTGTCACAAGACACGAAATAAAAGGAAAAAAAAATGGTGGAAAACATGAATAGTAATTTCTGTGAAAATTTTAATTATTTAAAAAAAAAAAAATTTTTAATGATTCATATGAATACATTAATGAAACCAAAACTAAAAATTTTTTAAATTAATAGAAACGAAACCAATAAAAAAAAAAAATTCCATTCAAAAATCCTTTCATTCATTTATACTTTACGAAACAAATTAAATATTTAAAATTTAGTTTAATGTTGTAAACGTTCAAACGTTTGTTGTTAATTCATTCTTATTGATTATTTATTTTATTGTTTATTTATTTTTTATAAATTCATAGGTTCATTAAATAAAATGTAATCATTGTTAGTTGAGCTAACAACAAAATAAACAATTTTATCGCAACACATACTTCAATCAGATAAATGATAATAAACACACACTTACTTTAGAACAACAACCACAACAACAACCAACAACAACAATGAGGTTTTTTTTTTTTTTTTTAAATATAAAAATTATTATTATGTTATTTAAACAGTAAAAAAAACATAATGGACAAAAAATCATCAATTTTGTCTTTTAGCATAAAAACAACCATATAAAATCTCCAATTTTGACTAATTTTTTTTTTAAATTTAAATTTAAATTTAAATTTAATAGAAGAAAAAAAATTTTTTTTTTTGCATGGAAAAAAAAAACATAAAAGAAAAGAAAATTGAATGAATGAACGAGAGTTAAAATCCTGACTTAAAATAAAATCATAATATAAAAAAAAATCATCCCTTTTTAACCCTCCATCCAATTTTAAATTAATATTCTAACTTACGACATTTACTGTGTCTCTCGTTTTGTATTATTATTATTATTATTATTACACCGTGTATAATATTATTATTATTTTTTTTTTTAAACATTTCTGCATTTGTTGATAATGATTATTTTGAAAAATAAAAATTATTTGATGTGGTTAGGGGCGGGGGAAATGGGTAACAGGTGAATAAAAGGGAAAAAAACATTTAAAAAATGATTTACATAAACCGCTTCGAGTATTTCATTCCACCCCCTTTCCCCCATTAAATTTTTTATTTTCCTTTTTTTGTTGTACTAAGTAATATTAAATATAATTTTCTTTTTTTCAGGGTGCGTACATATAATTTTTTTTTTTTAAAGAAAAATAAAAATTGGAAAAAAAATTCACGAATGATTCCTTGCTTTTCTTTTTTTTTTTAATCAATAATAATAATAATTTATCTTATTATTGTTATTATTCGATGCAAATCAATCAAAAAAAAAAACAATTTTTTTTCCCCATTGTAAAAAATCCTTCCCCCCCCTCCTCTCACAATTTTAATAAAGAGGGGCTAAAAAAAAATTTTTATTTTTAATAAGAAACATCTTCGTTTAATTTTTTTGGACGTAAAATTTATCAAGTGAATAAATGACTACGAGTCTCACACACGAGTCCGCTATAATAAATTATTATATTAAAATATTTTTTACACTCTGTGAATAGAAAAAAAAAAAAAAAGAAAATT